TGTATTTTTTTTCTTTTTCTTTTTTCACTTTTTTTTTCATTTTGAAGAAAATAAAATACGTTCGTATTATTACAGTAACGAGTTGTATTTTTATACCCGAGTAAAATGACGATTGATTGTTTTCTTCTTCTTCTTCTTCTTCGTTTTATTTTGTCGTATTAAATTAATCACAAAGTTAGATTAAAAATTTAACTTGCAATTAAGAGAGATAATTGATTTATTTTTTTCTTATATAAATTATAATAATAGTATACATTTTTGTGTGTATGCTGCTCGTTTTTTTATATATTGTTTATAACGAGATAAGCAACATTTAACTCACGTAGAAAATTAGATTTTTTTTTTTGTTCTGATATTTATGAGCAATTTAATTACGTGTTCGTGTAAATTTTCGAATAAATTCGTGTGAAAATTATTCAATCTGTAATATTACATTAATTTAAAGAATTAAATATGCGACAAAAAAACGTATTAATTGATATTTAAAATTTCACTTGAGAACCAGATTACTCTCAATAATTTCTACTTAATAAAATCTATTCGTTAGGAAAAAAATTTCAATCTTAAAAAATATTAAATAAATCGTACAACTAATTTAACTTTTACTTAAAAAAAATAAACCTCCCCCCCCAAAAAAAAACAAAAAAGGTTGTCAGACTTTCTAATAATATTCACTTAATAAAATAATTAATTTACTTAGAAAATATTTCTCTCTCTAGTTTTCTAATACCGTATCAAGATACATATTAAAAAACAAACACACATTCAACAAACTAAACTGGACGCATAAGTTCACCCGATTGAAATACCATTAAAACTGAGAGACATGTTATAAGTAAGATAAATAAGTAATAAAATAGAAATCAACCGGTAAGATCTTAATAGGAAATAGATGAAAACTAATCTACACGATCTGGAATTAGATCTAAACTGAGAATTCTATTACGTGAATGGTGCGTAAATGGATTTTCTTTAAAACAACTTATAAATATATACATCGTTAGATAGAGTAACATGTAACGATGATAACACATAAACGAGACGTTATTATCGTCAATCGAGGACCAAGGAATGACGTTTAATACGATCAGAAAACGTATAAGAAGAAAGAAAAATAAAAAAGAAGAAGAATAAATAGTTTTTAAGTGGAAGTAAAGAAGATCGAAGTTTCATGCATGCATCGTGTCGTAATTTGCTGACTTGGGGTTATCAGACCACACACAGGGCCACCTATATTTCTTTCTTATTTTATTTGATTTGATTTGATTTTTTTTCCTTTACTCACACATTCTATTTATTTCTCTAGCTAGAAAAAAAAAAAAAAAATACTTAACAACGCAAGCGTCAATTTATGAATTCGAGTTGTCCACGACAGTGGAAACACTGTTTCGTGTTTCTAACCGTCGGCTTGAGAGTACTGCTCGCCTTTATCGTTCTTCTTTATGATCGAGCTTAAAGGACATTACACACTATAGTATTTTACGCAGACACTATTTTATTATATCGTAACGCGTCACGCTGGAGGATATTACTGGGAACTTGCTGAATTCAATATAACGTTTAAACATGGTACGATATAAAATGATAGGATTAATGATTTTTCTTCCCCATTTTATTTCTTTTTTTTCTTGTTGTTGTTGTTGTTGTCGAGGATTTATTATATTTGTATTTTTCTTCTTCTTCTGCTTTTTTTTTTGTTTGTTTGTTTTTTTTTCTTTCCTTTTGGTAAATATCGTTCCACAATAAGAAAACAAATTATTTATTGAATCTAATTTATTCAATCAAATAATCGATCAAAAGTAGAATACAAGTCAAATCAAATCTATTGCGTCTTATTGATCAGAAATAAAATAAAAACGAAGTTACCAATTTCATCGTATTACAAATCAACGAATAATCACTTTAATCCTGTCGATTAAATCTAATTATAATTAAAAAATAAGTACAAAAACAAATAAATTCATTGCATTCTATTTGCTATTAATTTTTACACATTTCTCGTTAATAAATAGAATTAAAAAAGAAACCCTTTAATCCTGTCAATTAAATCTAATTATAATGAAAACTAAACCATGTTTGCAATTTATCTCCATACATCTAATATTCTTTAATATTATTCAACATACCCAAAAACAATAAAATAATATATAAAATTATAATATAATATACGAATAAAATCAGAATAATTATACTAATAATCCATTGAAACCTAAACACATTAATAAATAAAATAAATAAACTATTATAATTCAAATAAAAAGATAATACCTTAATAGAAAATATTAGAAATATAAAAGAAATTATCAACCTTGAAATAAAAATTCTTTTGTATTGTACAATATATAAATATAATATACAATAAT